ATATAGCTGGAATATTGCTGAGTGCGGCAACAACAGACCAACCAACCAACCAACCAAGCCGACCAGTCCTTGTTTTGTCCCCTTCATGCTGACGCAGTCTGGGTGACAACAGCTACCATCTTGTATGACGCAGCCGGGAATCGGACCACAAACCTCTCGCGAACTTCATATTTGAAACTTAAAAAAAAGTTATCAACAAAAGTATTATTAAACAGTGAAAAATCTGGGACATTTCTGGGCTTTCAAAGCCATTTAATGTAATTTTTTAACCAATCATACAGAGGCACACAATCACATTTGTTTTAGTTGAACTATAAGTTCACTGAGGGTGTGAGGTATTGTCAGTATACTGAGGTTCACTCTTTCCATGATACATATCACAATGTTATTTTGTTATGCTCGGTATATCAGGTTATTTCAAAGAGAAATTTTTGTCATGTGCTTAATGTTTCGAACTTGCCAAATACCTGGAGCGTGCATCCGGAGAATGCTTTCGAGTGTATTTATTTAAGTATTTAAGTAGTTAACATGATGTTGTTCCAGCATCTTGTTTTGTTCCATTTGTGAACTTACTCAATTCATACAATGATGTTTCAAATTTCTTCTGAATTCAAAATTTAGAATTATACACTATATTGTGATATGTATAGCAATACAGCCTTGTGCATCGTAAAATATTGTGATACACTTCAAACCTCCAATATCCATCTCGAAAGTTCATCATGATGAACAGTTTTGGTGACATTGTTGCACCTTGTTTTGACGTGGACACTGATACCAGTATGCCACAACAAGCACCACAAATTGCTTGACACAGGAAGTAGCCGGCGTTCAGCTAATGAACAACCTGACAATTTTGGTGTCACTCTCCCTCAGCAGGTATTCCTTCAGTGCAGTCTGAGTTTAAACTCAGCAATTAAATATGATCTCACACGGATGAGACGACTAAGGGAGTCAAATATTTAATCTCACCATGAGTTGGCTAAATACACTCAGTTAGTCATCCGGCCGCTAGTATTGTTGGAGCACCAAGTGGGATTTTCTTGCTTCCAGGAATTGGCCACATCATAGTGCTAATTATACAGAGTTAGGAGGGGCACTTTACAGCTTGTTTGTATTTCTGATGAATTTATCAGTCAGGTCATTCTGTTTTTGTTTTCTTGCCTGTTCGTTTCGTCACTGTACTATATCTTATTTGAGAGTTGGTACAGAATATTAAAAAAAATCATGATGTCATTAAAGCCTCCAATGGCAAACATTTGAACAAGAAAACTGTGCAACATACACAAGACAAACTGAGATATTACCAATTAGAAAGAAATGAAAAAACAGATATTTGTTTTCCCTAGTCCACCCCAAGTCCAAGTGAACTTTGAGCTTATTTCTGTCAAAACAAATATCAAATGTACCTTCTTTTTCAAAAGTAACAATTTGAGAAATTCAAATACCGTATTCGACGTAATAAGCGCCCAGGGCACTCCAAATTAAAAATAGGGGCTCTTTTTAGAATGTAATTTTGGTGAGGAGAAGTTGAAAGATCGTAAATTTCATGGTTTATGCTGACAGCCTGAAATGATACCAAAGAAAAGTCTGTGCGTATTATACACAACAGACATGTTTTCCAGAATTTAATTGCCCATAATTAAGGGTGCATATAACACACGAGTACGTATTATACACGAATAAATAAGTCTTGTGTACATTGATCAATCAGGAGGGGTGCTCATTGGTATTGTTCACGAGCAAATATCTTAGCAAATATTACCATGGGCGCTTATTAGAGAGGGGCGCTTATTACGTCGAATACGGTAACTGTTTTCCACCTTAACAACATGGTTCTACATTGGTCTGTATGCTTTTCATCTACCAAACTACCACCGTGCACCTTCATATTAGATTAATGTTCAGCATTCACTGTTAATATGCCTTGAAAACTGTGCTGTGCAGCAAATTGTCACAGCTTACCTGTCAACTGCAATCTAGTTTACCCAGTCAACACCGCCTGGCGATCAGGGCAACCAGTTGGGGTCTGAGACTCCTGCTTGTGTGGCTTGACTGGGATGGTCACCACCCGGCCAGCACTCAATCACGAGCTGGTGCACTTACATTTTTATTCCAACCAACCAGGTCAACCTGACGATCAGGGCAAGTAATCGGGGTCCGAGACTCCTGCTTGTGTGGCTTGACTGGGATGGTCACCACCCGGCCAGCACTCAATCGTGAGCTGGTGCACTTACATTTTTATTCCAACCAAACAGGTCAACCTGACAATCAGGGCAAGTAATCGGGGTCCGAGACTCCTGCTTGTGTGGCTTGACAGGGGTGGTCACCATGGCACTCAATCGTGAGCTGGTGCACTTACATTTTTATTCCAACCAACCAGGACAACCTGACGATCAGAGCAAGTAATCGGGGTCCGAGACTCCTGTTTGTGTTACCTGTCTTCAGCAAATTTTTACAATGAGAATCTCTCTCCGCCAAATCCTAATTAAATCTTTGTATCTACATCTTGTGTCTGTTGTTAGTCATTATAAACCTTTCTTATCGTTTGAAGAATTAATGTGTATTGGTGTTATTTTGGCTGAAAATGAACCACATGGGTCTTCTAAAGATTTTAAATTTTTTTAATTAAAATTTAATCAAATTAATAAAATTCAAATTTTGTCAAGCAGTTGCTCATGACAAAGGTCACGGTGACATGAGTGATTGTTTTCATTCCCCAAGTAGAGAGGGCCAGTAGTTTGAACGAAAGGCAAAAACCTGAGGTGTCACTTTCTTTCTACCTTTGACAACAATGTTCATTACAATGGTACGAATGTACCCGGGTCCTTTATTATTTTCAGTTTGAAGTTGTGAATGAATATGTACTCCTCCTCCTCCCCCCAAAAAACACATGACAAGATTCCCCAGTATATATACCTACTGAGTTGAAATGGAAGGAACGCCTGAGATATAATTCTCTTTATCACCAGAAAAAATGGCTTCCAGAATATCCTGGAATGTCTTGACAAGTGTTTAAGTTGTGTAGAAGACTAGAAGACTAGCAATCCGGATATATATAATTATAATTAGTGTTTTCTTACGAATATTTATGTGATCACAGTTTGTTTTGTTTGAGTGTCTCGACTCCCTTTTGAAATTATGTCTGAAGGTTATTATGACTAAAAAATTCGTAAAAATACATCCAACAAAATTTTTGAGATATTTAAAAAAAATATTTCATCATCAAGTATTGAAATTGAAATCATAAGCGTAATAATTTCTGATTTAAAATTCAAAGCATTAAAGGCTGAGAATTTCCCAAAAGCTGAAATCCATCAATCTGCTTCCATTTAATTATTTTCCCATAAATTATATCATCCCATGGTGGGTATTCCAATTCTTTAATTTTCACATTTATGAAATACGAGGCTGTTACTTTTATATGGGTCAGTTTCCCAAAATAAAAGCGGTGCCTTGATTACCATAATCTGAACAAGCGAACCTCATCCTTTGTCTCAGAATACACAGACCAGCAATCATTCCCGACCATAACGATGGAATTTTTTCTCTCCAAAATTTATTGAAAGTTACAAAAGTCATTATGTGATGACGAAGCACTGTTAAGGAATAATGACAAATGACATCTAGCTAGGAATCTGCAATAGCTGTCCACGGAGATTCGTATTTCACACGAGGTCTCTTTATTCTGGTTTCGTTTCGCCATCAATCATGCATTGTTCGGAAATGTACGCTGATTTGAATCTCTCCCTCTCACTGTCTCGCACCATGGGGGGGCTTTCAGGAATGGTGGTCTGACACAAATTGCCATTTGCAGAACTCCAGTGATCCCACTCTGAGAATGCCACCCTGTTGTTAGTTTGAATGTTGATATTTTAAGGGCTTAATTGTCAATCTTTCCAAGTAATGCATGGTCTGCTGGATTGGTTTCTTTGTGTGAAGGCCTAAGTCCTCTGTTTGCTATACCCTGGGTACTACCAGTAGGAGGATAAAGGGAAATCAAAGACTATTAAAGAGTGTTGTAAGAATTAATATATTGAATATAATTGTTTTAATATATTACATTGAATATATTATGATGTTTGTGTGACAGTTAAATCTACACACAGTTGTGGAATATTAATTATATTTAAAAAAAATATAATAGTTTGGATCATTGGTGAGTGAGTGAGTGAGTGAGTGAGTGAGTAAGCATCATGGGATCATAGTGAATGTTGGGCAGCCTAGTGGTTAAAGCGTTTGCTCTCACGCCAAAGACAAGGGTTCGATTCCCACATGGGTACAATTTGTGAAGCCCATTTCTGGTGTCCCCCGCTGTGATATTGCTGGAATATTGCTAAAAGTGGTTTAAAACCCATACTCACTCACTCACTCATAGTGAATGTTGTTTTGTGTCAGCTAAGTTCCAGCTATGTCACAGCATCCTGTAAATAATCAAAGCTGGGCCAGCTAAACCTGTGGTTGGTCATGAGCTACATCGTCTGTGCTCTGGGTGTTGAAGGACACACTACCAGTCAGGCACACATTGTAAACGTCCATCCCTGTAGTGGACAGCTCTTACAAACAACATGGTGTTTTGGTGAGTGCAACATTCAACAACAAATACCGTATTTGACATAATAAGCGCCCACGGCGATATTTGCTTATATATTGGCTAGTGAACAATCCCAAGTAACACCCCTTCCAATTTATCAATGTACACAAGACTTATTTATTCGTGTATAATACAAACTCGTGTGTTATATGCACCCTTAATTATGGGCAATTGAATTCTGGAAAATATATTTGTCTTTTGTACCATTTCAGACTGTCAGCATGAACCACGAAATTTACGATCTTTCAACACTGTTTTTTTTTTTCACCAAAATTATATTCTAATAAGAGCCCCCTATTTCTAATTTTGAGAGCGCCCTGGGCGCTTATTACGTCGAACATGGTAAGCTCACCCTTTCTTACTCCCCAGATCTGTTCTCAGTTTGAGTTTACCTTTTTCATTTCAGGGTCGAATTGCCAGAGCAACATAGATGACTGTAAGTCTGGCCCATGTCAACATGGTGGCACGTGCATGGACGAAGTCAACGCCTTCCGCTGCCAATGTCCGAGCGGGTACACTGGATCTATGTGTGAGAGCGAGGTTGATGAATGTGGGTATGGGCTCTGCCAAAATGGAGCTACCTGCACGGATGCTTTCAACGATTACAGCTGCACATGCTTGGGAGGATGGACAGGGAAGAACTGCAGTGCGGACATCGACGAATGTGCAACAGCACCGTGTGCTAATGGTGCAACTTGCATCAACCTCGTCAATCAGTATCGGTGTGCGTGCACTCCCGGGTAGGTGGTCTGAAACCTGTGTTCGTGTCAATTTCAATTGACAGATGCATCCTCTGACTTCTAATAGACTTGGTTTTTCCTGTTAAAGAATGTTCCCTTGGGAAACTTTTAAAACTTTGATCATCTAAATTGTTATTTTGAAGTGAAACACTGTTTGATTTCATTGCTTTCGTTTAATGTCACGGATGTAATGATGCAGATAGTTGTTACAAGCAGCATCTGCTCACACCAAAGACCGGCCTTGGATCGGGGCCCAGTTCCACGAAACGATCTTAGTGCTACGATTGTTGTAAATCTATGTATGGAAGTTACAATCCTCTTAGCATTACGATTGCTTTGTGGAACAGGCCCCAGAATCCTTTATATGTCCACAACCTCCTTGATCCATACGTTTGTGTTCCCAGTGAAAATGTCCACATAAATGAATTTCCAAACAGACAGTTCATTGTTTATCAAGTAATATGAGTTGCGGGTGTGAATAGCAGGTTACTGGGCTTTACAAGCGTACAGTTGACGAGGAAGGAGGTGCCATAATAGATTCACTTTAGTAATATTAAAGATTCTGGCGTTCTTGAACTTCTGGGCGGTGGGGATAGCCTTGTGGTTAAAGCGTTCACTCTTCACGCCGAAGACCCGGGTTTGATTCCCGACATGGGTACAATGTGCAAAGGCCATTTCTGGTGTCCTCCGCCATAATATTGCTGGAATATTGCTAAAAGCTTCGTAAAACCATACTCACTCACTCACTCACTCTTGAACTTCTTTGGAGTAGTATTTAAGTGACCTGTTGTTGCATGATGTGTCTCAGTGTAGATCAGTTTACATATGTATTAGATGTGAAAACAAGTTTCTTAGGGACCGGTCATTTATTACAGGGGTAGGTAGGTCAGAGGTTTTTTATGCACTTATGTGCTGCAAATAATGACCCTCCCCTAATGCTGTCATATTTTTTGATGACCTCATGTCCTTGTACATTTTCTTCATGAACATCCTTGAAAAATTATAACGCAAAAGCACTGTATGTGTTTTTTGAAAATGTCAATTTTTGACATGACCCTCCCTTCCATCTCTGTATACATGAGGACATGAAACCTTTTTGGATAACAGCATATTAATTATTTGCAATGACGGTACAGGTCTACGTCTTACCACTTCATCAGGTGAAAAAAAAGAAGACAACAATAAGGAAGTTGTTGCCATAAATATTTCATCACTTCGTCTTCTTACATCTTCTAAATGCCAGTCAACAGCTTCATCTGTGTATCATAAACAAACCATACCACACAATCCATCTTACTTGGATACCATGATTCACCAGACTTAAAAGCTCTCCAGCAATCTAAAATGTACAGTAGTCTAACACAATCACTGCTTGGAGACCCATCAACTGTTCTCCCCTATAATCTGATTTGTGTCACTTGAAAGTTTTTTGAAAAAAAAAATCAATAATTATTTCAACGTGAATAATTTGTTGAAAGTCCTTCATGTTATTGATTTTCTTTGTTTGGGTTCTAATTCAATTAGTCTGTTTCAGGATGTAGATTTTTTTATAATGTTAACTTCAGGCCATCAAAACAGAGATCTCCACACAAAGACACAGGGCTGTGATAAGGTTACACAGAACATGAAGGCTGTCAGGGCTCATTATCATCAAATGAGAAACAAGGGAACATTTTACATTAAGCTTTTGTTTATGTTAATTTACAGGTGCGGGATTGAAGAAGTTTCAATAGTGTTTTTAGTTGTCTCATAATTGTATCAGAATCCTAGTGGATGTGGAAAAGCAATATCAGTCTGCAACTTTAGTGACTAGACCGAAGCCTGAGTCTAGTAAAATTCTGTTGGACTGGTAAGCTCAGGTTATAATAGTATATATGTATATAAAAAATAACACTTAATTCTGCTGAAACGTTTTTGGTGCAGACTGCAACTTCCCTTTTGCCCAGCACTACAGAGATGGCACTCCCAACACAGGTTTGGGCTATAAATAGATCCAGATAAGCCTAGTAAATCTGGTAAAAGACCAGTCTCAATATGTTACTAAATGTTACAAAGGGAATACTAAACTTAATTTAATTTTCTCTCAAAGATTTCATACACAAGTTATTGCTAAAGGAATTCAGTGTGCACATAAAATGATTATTTACCCTTAAAGCTGTACACCTATAAATATGGACATATGTGATAATTGTTAACCGGAAAGAACCATATTTTTGTAAAAATGAATAAAATTTTGAATATGAAAAACTATCATGTGAGGCTGTGGAGACAAATGTTATTCATATATCTTTTTGTTATTGGTAAAGCTTTGATGACATGCTCTTTGACGATGGGGTTGTTCAGACTAACTCCAGGGAGGAGGGGGCGTGGGTGGCCCAGTCGTCTAAGGCGTCACGATTCGCTGTGCAGAGTTGCATCCCTTGGGCATGCCAGAAACCTATGATTGTGGGTTCGAATCCCAGTTTGCCCCAATTGTGTTTCTAGGTCTGTCAGCACCATATCCGTGCTCGTGGGTTTCACTGAAGTTTTAAACGTCTGAGACCTGCATCACTTCGGGCTTTCCTCCCACATTAAGCTGGAATACTGTTAAAAGCAGCGTTAAACCCAACTCACTCACTCACTAGGGAGGAAGTCCATTAGACTCAATGTTCCATGGAACCTCCATTGTCTCAAAGTCAGGATCTATAAAAGTTGAGTTGAATGTTGTTTTATTTAGGGAAATAGGCTCATTGATTGGCTTAACTTTAAAACATTTCAATGATGAATTGATTGAATTATTCATGGTTTTAGAGTACAAATAAAAGAAGAAAAAGCTGGAAAAATTGATGATGCAAAGAAGACTTTAAATGTCGTTCCATTGTTAGATCCAAGTGACAAGTCGACCACACAATATCTGACTTGGAGGGTGATATGTGGAAATCAATACCATAACCACGAGATGAGAATTGAGTGCTGTCAAACAACATTTGCTGTTTTTAAATTGATTTTTTAAATTTTGTTAGCATCACTGTAAAATCTGGGGACAATGTACTAAATGTCACATGACCTGTAGTTCGAGGCGGAATGCCAATAACATTAAAAAATGGAATATATGTCTGTTAATACTATTTTTTTATTCTGCTTACTTCAAATGTACATATTCACCAAAATAATATTGTGGAAGAGTGATCAAACCATTTAATAAACACTACACACCTGACAACATGTTAAAATAACTTCTTAAAAAACAATTATTCGTAACAGTTTTATGGACTTGACAATGTGTATGAACAGTGAGTGTTATATTTTCTGTTGTTATTGAGTATTTAATGCATCAAAATATTAACATTCGAAACCTCTGGCATCCAAATGAAATTTTCAGGTATCAAATGTTCAATAATGCCTGCAAATCTGAGAACACATGATGTGTATATCATCAGCTAGATCTGCACTGTCTATGAACAGTGAGTGTTATATTTTCTGTTGTTATTGAGTATTTAATGCTTGAAAATATTAACATTTGAAACCTCTGGCATCCAAATGAAATTTTCAGGTATCGAATGCTCAATAACGCCTGCAAATCTGAGAACACATTTTGTGTATATCTGCACTGTCTATGAACAATGAGTGTTATATTTTCTGTTGTTGTTGAATATTTAATACATGAAAATATTAACATTTGAAACCTCTGGCATCCAAATGAAATCTTCAGGTATCAAATGCTCAATAACACCTGCAAATCTGAGAACACATAATGTGTATATCCTCAGCTACATCTGCACTGAAGATAGGTAACAGATTATAGTACCAATTATCCCTTTAAAACAACAGTGGCTTGAGTTATGTACATACCTGCAGAAAATACTATACAGTAAACTACGTTTATAACGAACATGTTTATAATGAACTGCCGGATATAATGAACAGTCTGTTTTATTCCTGGCCAGTATATATGCTGTATATATGCTTATAACGAATTACGGTTATAACGAACTAAAATTAGTGGTCCCTTTGAGTTTGTTATAACCGTAGTTTACTGTATTAAATTCATGTTAATGCTCTGCCTTCCCTTCAACAGGTACACAGGGCTGAGGTGCGTTGAGGATATTGACGAGTGTGAAGGCACACCGTGTGTGAACGGAGGTACCTGTGTAGATGCAGTCAATGACTATACCTGTGCGTGCCCCCCTGCCTGGACAGGTAAAAGGTGTGATGTGGAGGTTAACGAGTGTGATTCCTCACCTTGTCGGAACAATGCCTCATGTGTGGATCAGATTGGATTTTACCGATGTACCTGTGTGGCTGGATATACAGGTAAGTTCTAACACAAAGTGACACAATGTAATAGTTGGAATGGGGACACTGACGGCTTAGTCAGGTATTTTGCTGTTTTTAGGTTTGTCAGCACCATACCCGTGCTCGTGGGTTTCACCAAAGTGGTAAACGTCTGAGACCTGTATCACTTCGGGCTTTCCTTCCACATTAAGCTGTTATGCCATGGTATAACTACTTTTCAAAACGGCGTTAATCCAAACTCACTCCACTCCGCTCCGCTCCACTCCACTCCACAATCTGAGTTTAATGACACACAATCAGCCAGGTCCAACACTGTAACCACCCATTAGTGAGCTGCGCGATAGGGTGGTAAAGTTCGACATTCTACAGCAGTCCCTGGACCAGCCAGGCAGACATTCTCCTGCAGTCCCTGGACCAGCCAGGCAGACATTCTCCTGCAGTCCCTGGACCGACCAGTCAGACATTCTCCTGCAGTCCCTGGACCAGCCAGGCAGGCATTCTCCTGCAGTCCCTGGACCAGCCAAGCAGACATTCTCCTGCAGTCCCTGGACCGACCAGTCAGACATTCTCCTGCAGTCCCTGGACCAGCCAGGCAGACATTCTCCTGCAGTCCCTGGACCAGCCAAGCAGACATTCTCCTGCAGTCCCTGGACCAGCCAGTCAGACATTCTCCTGCAGTCCCTGGACCGACCAGTCAGACATTCTCCTGCAGTCCCTGGACCGACCAGTCAGACATTCTCCTGCAGTCCCTGGACCGACCAGTCAGACATTCTCCTGCAGTCCCTGGACCAGCCAGGCAGACATTCTCCTGCAGTCCCTGGACCGACCAGTCAGACATTCTCCTGCAGTCCCTGGACCAGCCAGTCAGACATTCTCCTGCAGTCCCTGGACCAGCCAGGCAGACATTCTCCTGCAGTCCCTGGACCAGCCAAGCAGACATTCTCCTGCAGTCCCTGGACCAGCCAGGCAGGCATTCTCCTGCAGTCCCTGGACCGACCAGTCAGACATTCTCCTGCAGTCCCTGGACCGACCAGTCAGACATTCTCCTGCAGTCCCTGGACCAGCCAGGCAGACATTCTCCTGCAGTCCCTGGACCGACCAGGCAGACATTCTCCTGCAGTCCCTGGACCAGCCAGGCAGACATTATCCTGCATTCCCTGGACCGACCAGGCAGACATTCTCCTGCAGTCCCTGGACCGACCAGTCAGACATTCTCCTGCAGTCCCTGGACCAGCCAGGCAGACATTCTCCTGCAGTCCCTGGACCAGCCAGGCAGACATTCTCCTGCAGTCCCTGGACCGACCAGTCAGACATTCTCCTGCAGTCCCTGGACCAGCCAGTCAGACATTCTCCTGCAGTCCCTGGACCAGCCAGGCAGACATTCTCCTGCAGTCCCTGGACCAGCCAAGCAGACATTCTCCTGCAGTCCCTGGACCAGCCAGGCAGGCATTCTCCTGCAGTCCCTGGACCGACCAGGCAGACATTCTCCTGCAGTCCCTGGACCGACCAGTCAGACATTCTCCTGCAGTCCCTGGACCAGCCAGGCAGACATTCTCCTGCAGTCCCTGGACCGACCAGGCAGACATTCTCCTGCAGTCCCTGGACCAGCCAGGCAGACATTATCCTGCATTCCCTGGACCGACCAGGCAGACATTCTCCTGCAGTCCCTGGACCGACCAGTCAGACATTCTCCTGCAGTCCCTGGACCAGCCAGGCAGACATTCTCCTGCAGTCCCTGGACCAGCCAGGCAGACATTCTCCTGCAGTCCCTGGACCGACCAGTCAGACATTCTCATGCAGTCACTTGAGACTGCCACAGCTGTAAGATTGCTTGTGTATTGGTGCCAGGTGTTAGACCAAGAGATCTTCAGTTTGGCCACCTCTAGCACATGAACTACAGAAAAATGTCTGACTGGCCGGTCCAGTTACTGCATGAGAATGTCTGACTGGTCGACCAGAGACTGCAGGACTGCAGTAGAATGTCTGCCTGGCCGGCCCAGGGAAGTAGAATGTCCAGTGACTGCATGAGAATGTCTGCTTGGCCGGTCCAGAGACTGCAGGACTGCAGGAGAATGTCTGCCTGGCTGGTCCAGTGACTGCAGGAGAATGTCTGACTGGTCGGTCCAGAGACTGCAAGACTGCAGGAGAATGTCTTACTGGCCAGTCCAAGGACTGCAGTAGAATGTCTGCCTGGCCGGTCCAGAGAATGCAAGACTGCAGGAGAATGTCTGACTGGCCAGTCCAGGGACTGCAGTAGAATGTCTGACTGGTCAGTCCAGGGACTGCAGGAGAATGTCTGCCTGGCTGGTCCAGGGACTGCAGGAGAATGTCTGACTGGCTGGTCCAGAGACTGCAGTAGAATGTCTGACTGGTCAGTCCAGGGACTGCAGGAGAATGTCTGCCTGGCTGGTCCAGGGACTGCAGGAGAATGTCTGACTGGTCGGTCCAGGGACTGCAGGAGAATGTCTGCCTGGCTGGTCCAGGGACTGCAGGAGAATGTCTGACTGGTTGGTCCAGGGACTGCAGGAGAATGTCTGACTGGTCGGTCCAGGGACTGCAGGAGAATGTCTGACTGGTCGGTCCAGGGACTGCAGGAGAATGTCTGCCTGGCCGGTCTATGGTCTGCAGTAGAATGTCTGCCCGACCGGTCTAGGTGCTGCAGTAGAATGTCTGCCTGGCCGGTCAAGTGACTGCTCCATCAGTAAACAGCCAGGAGGAGACACACGGACATGAGGACATCGAGAGGGAAATAGCCTATTACTGTGCGCTGCAGGCCACGCTGACCTCTGATGACCCTGGTATTGACCACAGCACTACATCAAGTCTACCCCAGCTGCGCTCCATTTCACAAAGCAATCATAGCACTGTGATTGTCATATTTCCCATACTTTAACATAGACTTACGACCGTCGTAGTGCTACAACTGCTTCATGAAATGGGCCCTAGGTTCTCAGGACTGTCTGATACACAGAAGCTCTTCCTTCCATGATGACCCTTTTGTACTGCATCAAATCTGTTCCTAGGTCCTTCCATGATGTGCACAACTTTTCTCATTCCTAGTTTTACAGGTGAACAAAGTCTTAAGTATTACATCCAATCCAAGAAGGTAATACAAGGTTAGGCTGAAATGACTCTCAGATTCTGCTTGACAAATGCTAACGAAATCACAGTTGTCTCACTCGCTAGTTGTAAATCTCTCTGTTCCAATTACCTTGGAGTGAGTGAGTGAGTGAGTGAGTGAGTGAATGAGTAGGTACTTAAATGTTTCATTGGCAATATTTCAGCTATTGTCATTGTCTGTCTTGAAATTAGATACATTTGTCACATATATACCTAAATAGGTTAAAGATATGAATGTTTGTTTGGATGAACAATATTGGAATAAAAATGTTTTTCGCATATGAACTACAAATCTGCACAGCCGCCTGTTATTATCCCGTGAGAAGCCTTGGAATCATGTTCATGATGATACATCTCCCCATAGCTGGTAGGCTTCAGAATAATGTCGCTAATCAGCACCACGTTCTTGCGTCCTCCAGTTCACACCCAGTGCCGGAGGTGTCACACTTCCTGTCACACAATAACCTGGAGGTGATATCTATAGTCTTCACTTTGCTTGTAGGATACTTGTCTTTGTAGCAGCATCAGCTTCATATGAGAAGTAGGTGGGTTTGTAGGAAGCCGTTGTGAGGGGATGTTACATGGTCAGTTTTTGGTGTAATGATGCTAATCAGTCCCTTCTTGAGCCATGCTTTCCCTTTTTCTTCATCGATTGCAAATTGCGACATATTTATTCGCCTCAAAGTTTAATCATGGTATGGGAAGATTATATACCAAGGAAATAACACTCAAACTTTGTTCGTCTGGGTAGTACTGAAGTGTTTTGCGAGAATTATCTGATGAGTGAGTTTTCACACCACTTTTAGCCACATTCCATCAATATCATGGTGGGGACACTAGAAATGGGCTTTACACATTGTACCCATGTGTGGAATCAAACCTATGCCTTCAGCATGAAGAGTGATAGCTTTAACCACTTTACCACCCTGGTGGTGGACCTGGCTGATTGTGTGTCATTAAGCTCAGATTGTGTGGACCTGGTTTGGCTGGTCTAGAGTCAGTTCTGTCATGGCTGTCTTGGTGCACATAGGTCACAAGGCTGATGACGTTAATCACACTCATCCAACTCACCCAACTCACCCAACTCACCCACCCAAAACTGTGCCTACTTATATGAAATACATACCGAACTGACATGACAAGATATGTCCTTTCCAAATAACAAATATGTTGAAGTACCCATAATGAATCATGACATTTAATCCATTTAGTCAGCAAACATTCACCAGGACTGTCCAGCATCCCCCAATACGTCTCCAATAACAATTAATCTTTCTATTAACCCCTTCCTTGCTGTGGAGTAACTGACTGGAGCTAGCAACGTGCATACTGGCATGTCTTGGAGGAGATGTAAAGCCACTATATACAAATTATGTGGAAAAGCATTGGAAAATGTTCCTATGCAGAGTAGTCAATTTCAATTATTTCTATAGGATTATGGGAAGACAGCTACAGTCAAACACTGTTGTGTCAAACTTTGATGTGTCAAACTTACGGTTGTCTGGAAGTAAAAGCTTGGTCCCTGCATTTTCCTTCTTTATTATGATTCCTAAAGATATGAGATTTTGTTTAATCTCGTGATATATTTTATATAAGCTTGTGATGCGTACGGGTAAGTTAAATATGTGAACTGTTTGTAATTTGGGACATTTATATAATTTTCTTGTTGCTCAGTCTTCATGCCAATCAGGAAATGTATGCCAACTTTATGTTTTGGTTGAGTCGAACCTCGGATATCTCAAAGTATTTACTGTAGGTCACTTCCACTTTAACACAACTGTGTGACTGTATTTCAAATGCCGCTCCTGAGATAACAGTTCCTCGATGTCTTGAGAGAGAGTTTGGCAGTGAGAGAGGGTCAGCCTCATTGATAATGACCAGATATTGACCAGACCCGG